CTAACATGCATCACAAAATCCTAAACATGAATTCTACTCAATACAAAAGAAAAGTAAAATGAAAACAACGGTATAATCTTCTCATACCATTATTTCCAAACAAGAAGAGAGAGTAAGAGAAACACATCACAAAGCATGAAGAAAACACAACGGAAAACTTCATTTCATCAAAGCAAATTCACTAGATAAGCGTTTATAAAATCATAAGATAATGCAGAACACAATACTTAGCTTTTTCCCTTGAAAGAAAGAAGAAAATCTCTCCCACAAAGTCTCCCGTCAATCCATGCAATGCTAGAACATCTCCTTACAAATTCTCTCAAAATCTCCTCTACAATCTCTCCAAAAGGGTAGAAATCTACATTTCTGCTCCTATTCTAAAAATCCTAAACTTTCTCCACACTTATGCTAACATTCCTCTCACACAAAACCCACTTTTTGTAATCTAAATTCGTTCTTTTAAAGTGTAGGGATGAAGTTTGAAGAGTTGCCACAAGAATCCTTTCAAAAAGCGTTCAAATACGTTGAATTTCGGCCCATAACCGCCAAAAGTCGGTCCATAGTCGTCCCTGGCGCCGTCGCCGGGCTCGAGGGCGCCGTCGACGAGCTTTTCTGTCATTTTTCGGTCTTCTCGGGTAGCCGTCGGCGAGCAGACTGCGCAGCTCCACCGTTTCGCTCCATTTGGCTCCGTTTTAGCTCTGTTTCACCCCATTTCAGTTGCGTTGTGTTCCTATTAGATAGCCCTACAAAATGAACATGAAAACAACCTTTTTTAAAGTGTAATCTCATTCAAAAATATGCAATAAATATAAAGGCGATTGAGCATAAAAAGACATATCAAAATGGATCATGTGTGACGGGCAAAATTTTATTTCTTGCTCGTTTTTGCTCCAAATTACACCGTTTTTGTTTCTTTTTATCCAAAAGTCCATTTCTTGTACCAGAAACCAAAACATGCAAAATAACTTCCTTTAAAGAGTAATATCATTAAAATTAAGCATAAAATGTATATGAAAAATCAAGCATTTTTTAGGCGTGTCACCTATCACTCAGCTTATGACACTATACTGCGACTATCGTATTGCCTTTAATATGGCTAGCAATCCTATTTTTCATTAACATACAAATCATATTGAAGTAGATTATCATTTTATTTAGATTGTCCTTTTCTCTAAAGAAGTTATTTCTCAATTTTCCAGCTCAAAACAGTTGCCATTACTCTTTGCCGAAGCTTTAAAGCAACTACCTCTCTTGTTTATGTGAAAATTTGGAGTTAATAGATATATAGCTCAAAATTGAGGATTACTGCTGACACATTTGGTACTTAATTATACTGGTAGATATAGATATTGTTTTAATATATGTGTTTTCTATGTTACATTATTATGATATTACTTTCCTTTATCTGCTATTTTTTTTTTAAGCTATTTCTCTCGTATGCCTAGTTAGAGGGTCAATCTTTTTCAGTGAATGTACAATTTTCCTCCTAACAGTAAGAAACTAAAATTTCACCTTCTGTTGTGCTATTCCATTTACAAAAATTGTTATTAAATCATGAAAATAAACTTAAAAATTCATCACCTGCTTTCAAGTGCACATTCTATATTCTAGTTTGATTACTGAAATACTTTCTCTAACTTCTATGCAATATAATAATGCTGAAGGTACTTAAATGCAGGTAGTCATGCCAACCTTAGGCTGGAGGTGGTTGCTCGGACTATCCTCATTGCCATCATTTTTGCTGCTTATATTTTACAAATTTACCCCTGAATCACCAAGGTATCTTTGCATGAAAGGAAGAAAGTCCGATGCAATGCATGTTTTGGAGAGCATAGCTACAATGAACCAAAAATTGCTCCCTTCAGGCAGACTTATCTCTGATTGTAAAGAGGAAGACTCTGAGCTCGATGAGAATACCGATGATTTTCACGGAACTCATGCAGAACAAGTTCGTAGAAATGGAGCTTCTTTCATTCGATATCTTTCATCGAAGTTTAGGTGTATTGGTGCACTGTATAAGCTTTTATCTCCGGAGCTTATAAGAACGACTCTTCTTCTATGGATGGGCTTTTTTGGTAATGCCTTTACATATTACGGCGTGATTTTGCTAACCTCTGGGCTCAGTGATGGGGACGAAGATTGTAGGCCGATAAGGTTGCTTAAGAATAGCAAGGAAGGCACCAATCTTTATAAGGATGTTTTCATCACTAGCATGGCTGGTAAGAGTGCTAGAAATCCTTCTCTTTTCTGTTTTTAGATTTGCATTAGTGAAGCACAGTTAGCATATATACCACTCAATTCTTATCAGCTTACATATCTAATAGCTAAACTTCAATTTTACATATATACCTCCTTACCTATGCATGGAAAGGTGCATTTCACTTCTGGAAAGTTAAAGTAGTGGTTTTTTTGATGTGATACGAAAGATTTGGGTGATATAAATGTAAAAAGCAAATTTTTTTTGTGTTAGATATGTAAATACATTAGAATGAGGTTGTATGTATGTAAAAGCCTTTATTGAGACTTGATTTTCTACATTTTTTGCAGAGGTTCCAGGGCTTATTTTATCAGCTGTGATTGTAGACAGAATCGGTCGAAAACTTTCAGTTGCATCCATGCTTTTTGCAACTTTTGCTCTTTTTATCCCATTGGTATTTCATCTGAAGGAAGTTAGTACAACGGCACTTCTTTTTTGTGCTCGGATATGTGTAACAGGAAGCATCACCACTCTTTGTATATATGCTCCAGAGGTTAGTGTGTGGAATGTTATTCTTCAGTGAGCAAAGTTTTTCTAAACGCCTAAATCGGTGATGATATCAAAAATTATTAGAATAAATATGAAACTTGTACTATTCAATTTTAGTGAGTTTGACATTAAAAATTATAAAAAATTATTCTAGAAGATTAAGTGGTATATAGGCGTGATATGTTTAAATACATGGGATCAAATATATATCGAAACATGGATATACATGTGGATACAACTTCTTAAGTTATGGAGTAATGGTTAAATTGAAGTACCAAGAAAATATTACATAATAAGAGAAAAGCTTCAAGGATTAAAGATACAATTTTATAAAAGTACTACCAGGTTGACTAATTTATATTGTTTAAGTGTTTTAAGAAAGTCAACTTATCTTGTTGAGAATGCAAAAATGAAAATGCCAATATGGATGTGATTAATATATATAGAATAAAGTGAAATAAGTCTATTTGAGGGATCATGGGTGTAACATCTTCTAAAGATAAGTGAAAAATTGACTTAATCTTAGGCATGCCAAAGTATTTCTGTTTGGTTCTACATCGAATATGTGAAAATTATGTTTGCATATTAGTCCTTGACCCTTTCTTATAGGCTCTTAATCCTTTTTGTTGAAAAGTAATTTGATCACGGGTGTCTCATGCTTTACTTTGAACTATTTATGATTCCATATTGAGAAAAATTTATGCATAAACCATGAAGTGGTTGAATTGGGTTGTTAAAATTTATTGCAAAAATTTTAACACCGTCTCTACAAACACATGCTAAAGGAGAAGTGTATTAACAAACACATGCTAAAGGAGAAGTGTATTAACAAACACATTCCTTAAATAAATCATAGGAATTGAAAGTGCTAATATAGAATCATATTGCAAACTAGATGGTGGTTTGGCCAAACATGCTCTATGCCCACTCTTAAAACTTGATCACTCCTTTATAGCCTACAGGAATAGATTAAATTACCCAATCTCTTCTTTCTAGCAGAAAAAGATTGTATAGCACAACAAGCTAGTTGTCATAACCCACAACCTGAGGTAGAATTGTGAAGCATTCTTCTCAGCACTTGTCTAGAATTTGACTAGATTTTAATTCCAACCAAATTACTTTAGTTAGGAGTTGAGCTGAGGTTATAACAAACTTTACTCTATAAAATACCCTAAAACTCAGTAGGATTAAAAATCTTCCTTATTTCTGCAAGACAAGCAAAAGGAGGATGACAAAAAAAACCACCGAACAAAAGCATTAATATAACTTAGACATTTATTGCTTGTGGTGTTTTTTTATGGCACAGCAAGGAGGGTTGGGGCACATTGGGTGTCTACTTTTCACACTTTAGAATTTTCTTATGAAAGCATTTCGAACCAATCCTATAGAATCAAACTCAATGAGAATAATATATAAATAATCTTATGCAATGGAAGTTATGATACATCCAATAATACTTAGAAGCTAATGATCGTTTGGCATCACTTTTGTTTTTTTTTTCTTTTTTTTTTCCTCTGTGCAAAAGATTGCAAATAATACAAAGTCTACACCATTTCATACAAAAGATTGCAAATAATACAAAACAAATACACAAATACATAACTACAAGATTGTGATAAAGTTGTTTTAGTAAGTTTGTACTGAATGGATCTTTGAAGGGTGATCACTTGAGGCTTAATATCTTTCCATGAAGCTTTAAAACTCATATTTTTTATATGAAAATATCTGTAGATTTTTCTGTCTTTTTAGAACTAGGTATGGTTACTATTTATAGATTAACTTTGATAAATATATGCAACCTGAACACTGAATCTCAGATGCCTAAAATAAGCATCAATTAAATTCCTAACAAATATAAGAAACTTGTTATTATTTTTTAAAATCAAATTAACCAACTCTCAAAGGATAACTATTAAGCACCAAACATTTGCTTGTCTAGATTTGACTTAGCACTCTCGTGTTGGTAATAGGTTAGGTAGTCCTCCCAAAATTTGTCAATTATGTTATCACATTATCCTTATTGGACACTACATAATCCTCTTAAGTATTTTCATTAATAGGATCACAAGCCCTTGGTAGAGGTCATAGAATCCTTTCAATGTTGAATATAAATTATTAAGCACCATCACATCCATTCTATCATAGATTTATCATGTATGAACATTCAAGCTTTTATTTGTTGACCTTTACATCTGTTCCAAAACCTATATCAATTGAATGCAACAAGAATAGTAGACAACAACTATTTTATTACACAAATTTGATTCAATGTATCGCGCTCGCATAAAAATCACTCCAATGTTGCTTGTTTCATGAAATGAAATGCTTTGAAGCGCCATAAAAATGATGAACATAATGAAAATGATGAGTGATAGATGGCAATGTTATGCAAGTCCAACTTAAACACATTACAAATTTCAAAAGTACTCAATTGTTGCTTATTTCATAAAATAGATTATGTTAACTCATCCAAACTAGTGAAATTACTCTAGGAGGATTACTCATATTGCTTAGATTACCACACGAGAAAAATGCACAAAATTTACCAAAACGAGATAAGGATAAAAATTTGAAATGTAAGCATGATAAAATTCAGTAGGGAAGATCAATATACTCATGAAAAAATGAATATCATATATATATATTATATATTGTCGGAGGCTATTATACGAGCCCCGGTCATCTTTCATGCGCCTAAGAATTCAAGTACCACACCCTACACTCGGGAGAAATCAAACCCCAGACCAGAGGGGGCTTCCAACTGACAAGCAGATGCTCGACCAATTGATATATAAAGAACATATACATACATATAATACAATTCCTATTTATTTACATATCTAACACCAAAATTTTTTTTTTACATCGAACTACTTATAAAGATGTGTTGTTCTTTTTAAAAGTTAAATATAAAAAATCAAAGTTTTAGTGTTAGATATTTAAATACATAAGAATTGTGTGTTTTGTGAAATGGCCCATATATATATTCCCAAAAATCAATCAAATCTCAATATTGTTTTAGGTGTTTGTATGACCACTCTAGAAAATTCACTTTAGTAGGGTTGTGACATGTGTTCTTTTAATTATGTGGATTTGTATCAAACGATAACATAAAAATGAGCAGCTATGATTGAGTCTCTATGATCAAATATTTTGCAATAAAATTACATTATTAAATTATAATCAACTATATTTATAAATTCTCCAATACATAAATTCCCTTGATGGTTAACCATAAAGTACACTTGATAGGGCATTAAACTCTTTATTAGTTAAAGTTGACTTAAAATATTACCTTAAATAAACAGTCATCCCAAGTCTACAAACCCCGTTTGGACTATGCAACTCATAGTAACTGATAATGATATTTTTATCAAATTAAGTTCACTAACTTCTCTGATTAAGTAGATTAAGGTAAATGACAACCAGAGATAACAAAATTATGAGATTTTGATCATGTTCATCACCATTTATTCCCTCCATCTGCCCTAAATTATAAAGATAATACATTTTTCTTAATATAAAATTAAATTTTATAGTATTATGCTTTAATAAAAATTTTTGATTTCTCACCATATATAATTAATCATAAGGGCTTGTATTTATGAGAAACCTACAATCATTCATAAATCCTCGTAAAATAAAGGTGAAGTATCTAGATAATTTCTTATCTAAAAACTATTGAACATTTACTTTGGAATAATAATCTCTCTCAAATGATCAGAGCATGAATTTTTAGGGCCCACAATTTTACCTCATGTGAAATGGAAGAAAAAGTTTTAATCCTTGGGATGGATCTCCGACTATGAAATCCTTGTAGTTTTTCATTCAAGCCCTTACGTTGTTTTTGTAAGTCTTTGAATCATCAACAGAGAGCTTTTCGAAGGAAATTTTCTTCCAGATCCCTCCTTGGAGAATAGGGGATAGATTCATAAAAACTACATAAATATATTTTTTACAGTTAAATTTTAAAACAGAAAATATTTTACTAGTAGAAGAATTTCCTTGGAACGCTTGAACACTTGATTCAATTTGAATCAAGGCTAGGGAAATGCTCCTTATCATTATTGTAACACTTTTCTATGCTTATATGATGCCTTCTTGAAGTAAATAATTATTGTTACTGTATTCTAAAAGTAATAAGCATTCTTCATCAGTCCAAAGATACTCAAGAAGTTAATTTTCATTAATCATAGGCCTAGCCATCTCTGTTAACATTTGGCTTTTCTTCTCTCCAAATCTGTTTTATAAAGTTGTAGGACTCAAAAGATTATGTCTAATACCATGCTTGCTGCAAAATTCATCAAATAAATCTATCTCAAGCTTCCCCTACTGATCATTCGATATGCATGCAATTAAACAGCTTTTCTCACGCTGATCCTTTTGGGAGAACAATTAAACTACGTTATACATCACTCTTTGATGCCAAAAGGAGTACCCATGTAGATCTAGTCTTCGTTTATAACGAAAAAAAAAAAAGAAGTAATGTATCTTTCTTCACCTTTACTCATGGTTCTTGTTGTTTCAAACGATCTAGATGTTGCCATACATTTCTTATATTAAAAAAAAAAAAAAAGATAATTACTACCTGCTCGTTTGATATAAATCACCAATTTATTCCTCAAACTTTAAGCGGGGAAGTTCTTTAACTGGTTAAGAGATCCAGGTGGCTGTATTCTTGCTAGCATGAATAAGCTAGGGTGCCCAAGCCATAATCTTTTGTACAATAATTCAAGCATTCATATCATATTCTTCTTTGAAAGCAATAGCAAGTAAATAAACATTTTCATGATGACCTATTATTATAAACTTGATCATTCTTTTTATTTTAATGGCCATCACTTGGTTTTAACGATACAAATATTGTTTTTTTCGTTTGTCTAGTATTGATATTCGACTATCACATCTTGATTTTTTTTGTATCCAAATAGATTTGGATCCCTTAATGTGAATGCTTTTTTTTTCAGTTTCATGTAATTAATCAAAAGAAAGTTTTAAATTTTTGCAAGTCCATATCTATCGTTTAGCTTCTTGAAAATCACGCATGATTTTATGCTCTAAAGTCATGAAGCAAAATGCTTCCTGCTTTTTTCAGTGTGATTGTAGTTTTAAATCATCCTCTTTGCTCTATTTATTTCCTTCTTTGTTGTCCCTCCCTTGCACTGTACAATCCCTGTGAAATTATAAATTATTTTAGAGTTGTAAAAAGTTGCTTCATTCTTAACCGAGTTGCATAGTCTCATAAAGGCTACCTCACACACTTCAACATCGACATCCTGAGACAGCTCTATATGAACAAACTATGCGTGAGTTGATAATTGAGTCGTCTTGAGATGATCCACCTTATTTTTTGTTTTTAGGATTGGAGTTTTTCTTATACCCTATCTCTCTTCTATCTTCTTTTATGTTTAAATGGCGAAAAAATTGAGTGAGATTGTTATCTAGGCCTTCTTTGTTAGCTTTGATCGAATATTGTTCTTATTCATTTGTTGAGGAGGTAGACTTCAAGGCATGTTCTTTGTCTTTCATTTCCTTATTTTTTCATAAGATTTTGCTCATTTTCCATTAAAGAACCAATAAAAATCTCAAGATTAAAACTTGATGAATCTCGAGCTTCAAGATAACGATCACCTTAGCATCCCACTCTTTCGAAGGATTCTTGAGGATTTTGCATGCAATTGGGCTCGACTCATGAACTATTTTTTAATGGGCTTCTTGTATTCATGAACAATGTGCGAAAACCCAATATATAAATAAACTATATCAGTTGGTTGGCTCACTCTCACAGGCTTAAGCTTCTATGTTAAAAGTGGTAATTAGTTTACCATGCATAATTTATATTTATTCTCAACAATTTTTTTATTTGGGCACATAAATTCAACAAAAGAAGAAGTTGAGATGCAAATATATGAATTTTCACTCAGCTTATTTACATGATCATGTTTTTTGGAAAATTCACACACATACCACACAATGCTTCTGTATTTACATAACTAACTCCTGAAGTTTGATATTTACATTCATTACACTTTGGTGTTATAAACCTATGCATGTATTTCATTTTAAAAAAGTTAATAATAGTGATTTTTTTTATGTAATGTTAAAGATTTGAGTGTTGTTCATGTAAATATGAAAGTTTTGGTGTTAGATATGTAAATACATAAGATATGTATGGGTTTTTATGTAAATGCCCTCTTTTATTTTTTTGCAGATTTATCCAACCTCTGTCAGGAGTACAGGCTATGGAACAGCAAACTCAATTGGAAAAATTGGTGGGATTATTTCTCCCCTTGTGGCAGTTGGCTTGGTGGATGGTTGCCACAAGGTAGCAGCTGTTCTTCTCTTCGAAGCTGTGATATTCTTTACAGGGATGGCTGTAGTCTTCTTCCCTGTTGAAACCAAGGGCTGTAAGCTGAAAGACTCTTTATAGAGCTTAACTGGGAGATCACGAATGAATCCAAATTACAGATTTCTGCTTCTTATCAAAACCCGACATCAAATTTGATTCTGATTTGATTCAGTTTTAGGTAATATTCGACTGTAATGTCGACTTAGGCTTCGTGTTGCAACAGGGATCAATTGATATTAAATGGATCATATGAAAAAGACAATAATTCAGATTTTTGGGCAGTTTGTTATTTCTTAAATTTGATTCATGATGTTAGATTTGCACAATATTATAATAATTTTCTAAATTTAGCCAAATCTTTATTCATCATGTATGATATTGTATTTGTTATTTTTCTCTTTGTATTAATAAAGAGTTTTGATATTTGATTTGAGTTTTGAGTTTTGTTGCATAATGAACTTTAGGAAGACTTAACGAAAATTTTTATTAATTACAAGTTTGCAGTCAAACTGGCCATCTTGTTAGGATGAACTTAATGAAGACAAATTTGGTTCAATCCGAGTCCAATCAAGCCTCAATTTTAAGCATACTACCATCTCTATACTATATTACAACCTTGTTCTTCTATGTTAGCTTCATAAAAGCTTTCTACATCTACTGTCTAGCAAATGAAGGAATAAATCACTCATATTCAAAGAAGTCAAAATGTAGTAGTCATCACCCCGGGCCCATTGGCACCATATGCATGCCCTAATATTTCCCATTAGCTATAATCCACATGTTTAAAGAAATTAGCCCATCCTTTATATGGGGTAATCATCCTCCTCCAATCTGAATTATGATATTTAACTTTCTTGTGTATGTATATTTCATATCATATATATCATCTTTAACATCCCAAATTATCCCCAGCATCCATCTCATCATGTTAAATATTGTGCATATATAATTATTTATAAATCAGGTTGTCAACTATAATGCATATTTAACAGAACATTTTGCAAATTATAGTGCATATAGTCATGTTTAAAAGACTGATAAAATGATTTACAAATCAAAAGCTAGATGGCTCCACAAAATTCATTTGTACCAGCATACATAAAATTACCTTATAAATATTTAAGGTATTAAAATATTTATATAACTATCTAAATGGTTAAAAGACTTACAAATATATTATTATAGCATATAGATACGACAGCGTGATGTGATCCACGTCGTCATTCGTCGTCCAACATTCTCTTAAGTTAGCGCCACTAATACCAATTTTCACACCATATCCGGATCTTCACAATAAACAGCTTTAACATAATTCAAACAAACCATGCATGTCTTCATAACCTCAACACAATGTCAACAACAATAATGGAACCAACACAGAGAACACTGAAGCAAAACCATGTTCCTGAGCTCCCCCCATCCTCCACGGAACCCCTTCAGAAACCTCAATCATGACAGGAAACTTGCAGTTCAGCGTCGACGGGTCTCTCTCTGTAACACTTCCCAAGTTCGAAAAACCGCAGGCTCTATCATCTTGATCGTTCTTCTGATAATAGCTATTAAACGCATAAGAGATGTTCCCGCGAGCATCCAAATCACTACAAGAGGTCTTATACCCCAGACTTGTGCAATCTGCATTCCCACAGGCAAAACTCACACTTGAAGCCACATTTGGATCAGTAATACTAGCTGTTGGCTTCATCACACACCATCTCTTCTCTAAATACTTCACTCCCTTAGCAGAAACAATCTCATTGTTCCCAATCTTCATCTGGTATTTTGCGCTGCCATCAAAGCTAAACAGCCCCCAATGCCTCTCAAAGTTCCCAGGCTGAATGCTCTTCTCGTCCTCGTCAATCAGACTGAACAAATACACGTCCATGGCTCCCGGCCTAACCGGAGTTCCCTGCACAATGTGGTTCATGAGCCCCTGATTGAACTTCTGAGCATACTGAACATTAGCATCTATATGACCATCTGTTGGCCAACCAATCTCACCAACTATGATTGACATGTTGCCAAATCCATTCTTCTTCAGAGCCCAAACAAGTGTATCATGATTCGCATCCAACGTGTTGGTGTATGTCGTCGAGCCGTCGATGATTGGGGACGATGAGCCATCGAAGAAGGCGTAATCTAACGGGAAGTTTGGGTCATTGAGAAGGCTGATGAAAGGGTAGATGTTGACTGTGAAGGGGGAAGTGTTGTCACTGAGGAATTTGACTATGGAGAGCATGAGGTCTTTTATGTCGGCTCGGAAGTCGCCGCCGGAAGGCTTGCCGGTCGCTGACTCATAGACATCGGCATTGAGGGGGATGGTCACCTTCACTTGGCTTGCGAGGCCTGCTTTGATGAGCGCGCTCTGGATGTTTTGGAGGGCTGGGAATGTTGATTGCAGGTATGTTCCATTTAATGTTTTCAGGAATGGTTCGTTTCCAACTGCAACGTAGCTGTAGGGAAGTAAAGCATTGTATGGCTTTCAAAATAGAAATAAAATTATGTTTGGATAAGATTGGTGTGGATAGATGCAAATTTGATAATATTTAGTGGTATTGTGGTGAAATGCCACCACAATACCATCAATCCGCGTGTACGGATTCCACATGTAATATTTGCTCGTCAAAATAAGCTAATAAAGTATTGTATATTCGTCATAAAAGTTTGTTCTTTGTTAACAACTCTTGTTCGGCTTCTGCTTGTATTTGAATGGCTCGTTAAATAAGTGTGCCGAACGCAAGCAAACATTTAAACTTGAATTATAAACGAGCCGAAACGAACAATCCTTTGATCGAAATTTGCTCGTGTTCGAAATTACTCATGAATAGTGTGGTCATGTTGTTCTATGTTTCTTATTGTATAGGAATGGTTGTAGGTTTGAATTCAACATTATACATTTATTTTTCTAATTAATATAAACAGGCCGAACACAAATAAAAATATATAAGTCAAGCTGAATAAAAACACACGGTTCATGAGTAATTTCAAACACAGCAAATTTCGAACGAGCTAAATACAAGTCAAGACCGAACTCACCCGAACTCGGCTCGTTGACAACCCTAAAGCATTGTAGTATAGGCTAGTTGAATTAACATAAGAAAATCTTTATAATGGAGAATAGATGAGTAATCTGTCTTAAATTATGTCAAATAGATTTTATAATAGATTTTATGTAACTTAAAATAGTTGTAAAAATTCAAAATTTTGAGTTTAAGAAAAAAGGTAAAATAATGGTAAAAAAAAGCTATGTTAGTATAGGTAGAGGTGTGCATTGTTTGGATAAATCCAAAAAACTGATCCGAACCGAACCAATTTGTTGATTTGGTTCGGTTTTTAAAATAATGGTTCGGTTTTAAAATTTGTATAGCTTGGTTTATCGGTTACGGTTTGTTTTTTTTGTTTTACCAAACTAATCGAAAATCGAATTAAAATTCACATAAGAATTAAAATTTCAGTGTAAAGTGAAAACCAATCTACTAAACAACACTACACAGAATAAAACAACGAGAAGCTTACTCTATTCAGATATAAATAATGTTTAATTTTGATAATTTTTCAAATTTCATTATTCATTAAGCATACTATAATTTTGGTATTCTTATATTTTCACAAGTAATATAGAAATTCAATAAAAATGTGCTTAAATCTTGGCTATATTTTCGAAAGCTCTTAAATTTCAATTTTTTTAAAACCGAATTAAAATTTGATTTGACTGGTTTGGTTCTCCTGAAAAATTATTTGGATTCTGTATTTCGATTAATTACGTTTTGTTAAATTTCCAAACCAATCCAGTCAAACCAATCGAATGCACACCCCTAAGTATAGGACATGAGATGGAAACAATTCAACAATACATACATGCACCATACTTCTTATGTATGTATTTAGATATCAAACACCTAAACATTAATTCATATTTACATAAAAAACCCTCTAATCTTTAATATCACATAAAAAATGTCACTAGTGCAAACTTTTCTAAAATGAAGAACACCTTTTGATTCATAGGTTCATAACACCAAAGCGTCATAAATGTAAATATCAGACTTGAGGACTTCAATATATCAGATACAAAAAAAAATGCATTTACCATACATATGTATATAAACATGCATTTGTAGGTTCATAACACCAAAGTTCCATAAATGTAAATATCAGACTCGAGGACTTCAATATATCATATACAAAAAAAAAATTGCATTTACCATACATATGTATATAAACATGCATTTCAACTTTTAAAATTCACAATCGTAATATTTTTTATGTGATATAAGAGATTTACCTGGTACAAGTGTATATAAAACGTAACGTACCGGTCTCAGATATGTAAATACATAAGAATTTGATGATATGTATGTAAAAAAAAAAAATAAAAAAAAATAAAAAAAATAAAAATAAAAGAGAAGACACAAGGGCCAAAGTGCAAACCTTATATTAACCCCAACATTAACATATGAAGAAACATTCTTGGAAACCCACATCTCGGCCGCACTCATGTCGGCGGCCATGGCCGGAAGCATGTCATTCTGAATACCTATCATCACCTGAATCCCACTGTTCCTCAGACCATTCAGAGCTCCCTCCTCTGCTCCAAATAGCTTCAGTTTATCAATTCCATTATCTCTGAGCATCTGCACCACTACTGAATTTGGCAATGGATGGCTTGCTTGAGTCCCCAAATTAACACCAATCCCATTCACAAATCCATCACAAAAAACCCAAAATATGATCACCAGAGCTTCTGCAAATCTCTCCATTTACTGTAAAAAAAAGCTCAAAAAACGCAGAAAAGAATTAAAAATGTAGTCTTTGATTTCATAGCAATACTGAAAGAAAGGTAAAGTTCTTAGAAAGCAGTGGCAACATGGAAGGAGAAGAGGTGGAAGAAGATGAAGTGAGCTGCTCAGAACTTGAAGGAAGGATTGGAGAAGAAATCTGACATGGATATGTGAATTTAGAAGGAGAGAAAGGAATTAACTTGTCTACAAGGAAGAACAACTAAGAAGATGAGAGTGATAGACTTATTAAACTAAGCTAGTGTTTGGTAGCATACTATTCGTAGAATTTAGCCACGGGTTTAGCTTAAATCGAGCCAAACATCAAAAACCTGAATATTAAATCCAACGCTCAGTTAAATCAAATATTCTCGTGTTCTATCCGCTTTACTCGCGTTCCATCTACTTTCCAACAGTACGAGGCGGATTTATTCCGTTGGGAACTCTGCTGTCAAAGACAAATCTGAATTTATCGGATTTGATAAATCCTACTTGACGTAAAACTAAGTTGCAGCCGCCTTCTTAAACTAAAGTGAATGTAAAGCATGCTAACCTAGTGGAATAATAAAGTTGGAGCAAAGTTGGAGATAAATTATTTTGAAAGAGAGTAGTTATATTTTCAATTTTCTTTTATATATATATATATATATATATATATATGTAGGAGAGGATTACAAGAGGAGTAAAGGAGATGGGGAAGAGAAGCTAAGGATCTTGTTCTGGAGTAAAAGAAGTGACAAGGTATCCAACCAAAAAACACTTCAGATGGGCTTAGATTATTATTACTTTTTTTGAGATAATTACATACAAATCATCCAAAATATTGATATTTACAAACTAACATCCCAGATGATGTTTTTGGACCACTAAGCCAATGTATTTATACGTACCACAATCAAATTATTGAGAATTTGATAAAAGACGAAAAATGTGAGTAGGGGATTTACCATGAATTTCGATATTTGAGTGAAAATTTGAAAAATGAATGAAAGGGAGCGGTTGATTTGTAAATACCAATTTTCCTGTGGCCTGCATATGAAAAAAAAAAGGTTACTTTACTATTTATCTTTTAGATTGATGAGTGCTAGAAGCATGATCTCTCATCCAAAAGCATAGCCATGGACTGGCAACTGAAGTCTTTATTTTACTTTAATCAAAAGCTAAAATGTTTTTTTTTTTTCTTTTTTTTCCTTAAAGAATAGAGCTAACTTGAAATATAAGGTTTCAAAGGTAAATTACTTTGAATTTTTTTATATTAATATTTTGTGATTATTTTGTCATAAAATTTTACCTATATGACCCCATATATTTGATTATTTGTCTTAATTGATATTTACTATAATTTTATTTTTTATGATTGTTGTAATAATAGGTTGGAGCATATACATGGAAACCACACAATTCTTATATATTTACATATCCAACTTCTAAATTCTCATATTTAAGTGAAAGCAACTTAAATTTTTGATGTCCCATAAAAATGTCAGTGTTGCTGTATTTTAAAAGTGAAATTTGCCTTTCATGCATAGGTTTATGGCACTAAAGTGTTATAAATATTAATATCAAATTGTAGGTACTAAATATGTAAATAAATACGAATTGTTTGGTATGTTTGTAAATTTCCTTAATAATTAATGCTTTTATATTGTATATTACTTTCCTTGTGCTTAAAATTGATCTCTTATAAAATAGGATTTTGTAATAAATTTATATCTTATGCATACATAATTATTACTTTAGTATTGATGTGTCGTGAACAAATTTTTATCAAGCACAAATCTCAAAGCATTTTTTATAAGGGGTCTTTCAAATTCAAATTCAAGAGTTTGTTTCCCGATTGTAGTAAAGCTATAGTCAAACTGACCATCTTGACAAGACGAACCCAATGATGTCAAAATTGGTTTAATCCAAGTCCAATTAAGACTAGATCAAGCCATTAAAGCATAATTAGAGGCTTTAAGAATTCAAATTCAAGAGTGTGTTTCCCGATTGTAGTAAAGCTATATTCAAACTGACGGTCTCGACAAGACGAACCCAATGATGTCAAAATTTGTTCAATCCAAGTCCAATTAAGCTTAGATCAAGCTATTGAAGCATAATTGAAGACTTTAAATCATCAATTGACTGGTCAAATGAACTCCATATTTAATTTGACATATTTATATTCAAATCAAGTGTCTCAATGAAATATATCTAACAAGTCTAAGATCGTTCAATTCTAAGGTCATTAAATTACCAAAATGCTTAAAACATTACTTATGATCATGGGGGATCAACATGAACCACTTGATCAGGTGGTTTAGGAAGTTACGTGCTAAAAAACCAAACTCTCTCTTCACTTGGAGGGAGAGGGGGAGGAGTAGAAGAAAATAAGGAGTTTATGGAGCCTTCTAGAGAAGAGTCAAATAAAAACCATCGACCTCTATAGCGGCTGACAACCGTTGATCACCGCCTATCAACTACCATTGACGACTATCCAATGTTTGGAGAGTCAAATAATAACCATCGTTGATCACTGCCTATCAACTACCATTGACGACTATCCAATGTTTGACGTATATGAAGATGTTGATCATTATAGAATTATGATGCACATGCAAGGAATTTCTAATATGCTTCTTTGTCAAAATTTTTCTAATACTCTTAAAGACCTAGCACATACTTAGTTTAATTCACACTTAGGGGAGTGACATTCATTTTTTACAGAAAGACCATATCAAGAAGTAAGTGCTTGTTGATTTTGTGATTGAATGTATAATTTGTACTTCAGTTGAGCATCTCATTCCCCCATCCCAAATCTTTCTGATGGATTGTACGTTGACGGAGTCTCTAAGATTTTTGGAGCTCGGACTAGAGTCCAATTTATTTCTCCTAAGAAAGAGATTTTGGAATATGAGGGTTGCCTAAAATTTCTTATAACGAATAACCATTGTTGAGTGGAAGGAGACTTCAATGTTCATAATTAATAGCTAGAATAATATCTTGGTTTGGTTAAATCACTTCTTTCTTATATCCGAACATATCATATAATTCATATGCTTCATGAAAACAATCCCACATTTTTATGGCTTTTAGGCATAACACTCACAACAACGGAATCACCCACTCTAACACCCATCATTCTAGATGATGATCTCAAAGCCAGAACGTCAGGGTTATGCTTCTATTTTGTTGGATGGACATTACTTAATTAAGGAGTCTCAAAATGAGATTCTTTAGCTCTTTTGTGAAGCTCAACAATCAACATGATTGCCAGCTAGTGGAGCTTACTTACCATAAGAAATAAATCTAGAAAAAAATAGGTATTTTAAGTGCAAATATAAAGTAACATACAAATAAACGCAAGCATGAATTTTCTAAAAATAGGTAATCTGTAAGCAAACAACTATAGTCATGCTTATTTTCACACCAGTAGGTGCCACTCCAATTATCCTAATAGATCATGCTTAGGGCATGTCATGAGTTAACAATAGCACTTGAAGGAATATTTTAATATTAATTTAATTTTTACATTTCATTTGCCCCATTAAACATGAATATTTTGCATGAAACAATCATTATAACTATAAAATAGTCACCCTAATATTAAGTCTAACTTAAATGCAATGGATAAACCATCCAAACAACAAGTAAAACATCACATTAAGTAGTACTCCATAGAATACAATGAACACATCCAAATAAACATAAACAGCCTAACCTAAATCTATTTTATGTTGAATTTTGTTTTGTCCTTGAATTACACCCAAAGAATAGAGCATAAGCAAGGAAAGAGAATGAGGGAGGAAGGTGAGAGAGACCCAAGCAGCTCAGTAAATAAGTTTGATTTTAATAATCAAACTTTTTTTTTTAATCCAAAGGGTGGAATCAATTGTATGTTTAACTCCTCCTTATATAAGGACGAGTCTTTCTAAAAAGATAAGTATAGGTCTTTATCATGCCTTGACCTCTATGGGTACATAGTTACCTTTTTGGTCACATCAAGTTGAGATTCTAAGATTTCCTTTTCAAAGTCTAAGATAGATCATGAATGGACCATATTTTCTTAGAGATCTTTGCATCTAGCTCATAGAACTCAGTCTTCCATACTCAATCCTTAGTACTTGGCCTCCCGTACTCGACCCGTAGTACCCATACTTCAATGTTTGGTCTTCATTTCTCAATTGGCCTTTGCTCGTACATTCATCATTCAAAATTTATTTCCTTCAACGTATGATCCTGGAGTCATTCTTTCATTAATTGGGGTTGGTTTAGAATAAGTTGAGGTTTATTCGTGCCCTACTAGTTTGAGTAGCTACTTTTAGTTATATATATTTAATTTTTTTATTCTCTCATCTCTTAGGAAGTTTTTTTGTGATAAGAATAAGAACATGATAAATATGAAACTATGCTTTGCTCATCTCTACAAGACAAATGTATGTTTCTATGGTCTAAATAATATATTTATCAGATATTTCATTTTCTTAAAATACCAATCAAAAGTATTCAAGTAAAAATGAGTTGTATTTTTCCCTATGCGATGACTATTCTGCTACTTGGGGCTCTTAGCTCTCATGCAAAACCACATTAGCTACATCTATAATATTCCATCTTGAGGGCATTTTGTCTCAAATTTAGGGTGTAGTCACATAGATTGTCAGCATCTTTATTATAGTTGAATAGATGGCCTTATAAGGAGAGTTCCATAAGTGTTATCGAAGAAAGGAGTTTCTTTTTTTTTTTGTGACTAGATTGACTATTTTCTTACAATATGGCTCAATTATAAAGAAATTCTTTTTTTTTTTTTTTTTTTTTTTTTTTTTTTTTTTTTATATTTTGATTTTTTTTTTTTTTTT